CCAGAGGCAGCAGGAGCGGTGTTGACGGGGACGTGGCGGGGACAAGCAAGGACCCCCCGCAGATGTGGCTGGGGGGGGGGGCGGGGGGTGGAACGTGAGCTCCCCAGATCTATGCACAGGGCTAAGGCAGGCTGCCACTGCAGGCTGGGCCCAGGGGCAATGCTGGTCTCTTCCCAGTGGGAGGCTGAGCTAGGGCTGTGCTCAAGATAGGCAGTGGCAGTGTTAGGAAAGGTGCTACAGGGTAGGCTACAGCCACCCCAAAATTCTCTGTAGCCCCCCCAGTAGCAGCATTGCTGCCACCCACCTTGAGTGCAGCCCAGCCCAGTCCCTCTGCCAGAAGGAGCCCAGTGCTGCCCATGCTTGCGGTGGCAGCCTGCCCTTGCCTCGTGTACAGATCCAGAGGACACATGCCTCCCCCATGACCTCCTGGGGTGCGTGCAGTGGTGAGAGCCAACCCCCCCACCCCCAGGATGAGCCACAGATATGTCCCACGCCCTGCCTCACCTGCGCAGTGCCTGCCCCAGCTCCACTCCCTCCCTCACCACAGGGGCCTCTATCTGCTCCCCCACACTCCTTCCCTCCCCACTTTTCCCTTCCCTTTTCCCTCACAACAGACGTACCAGCCGAATGCGCTCTCCATGCTGCCGGGCCACATATCAGCAATCGGACCAGCCGATGTAGCTCATGAAAAATCAGCCATCTGTATTGGCCCAAAAAATCTCTACTGGTGTACACCTACTGTTCACTAGCCATCAAGAGCAACGCAGAGATCAAAAGAACTTATTTGTGGAGTTCAAAAAGGTTCTTTCTTTAATATAGAAAATAAACTTTTCAGTAACCTATAACCATTTCAAGGAGTTGTGGGCTTGGCTTGTCAATCTGATTCTTCTCTACAAGTTTGTACACGTTTTCTAAATAGTACAATTAAGTTAAAATTATACTTTCCCATTGACTTGAGTGAAGCAGGATCTATTTGTGAAGATGGGAGTGCTCCTTTTTACAGCCAGTGCTCAATTTAAACTTTAGCTATGGTAAAACAAAAATACAAGACAACAGTCAGCTTGTACTTAAAAAGTGCTGATTGCACACAATAATCTTTCAAAGCTTGAATTTAAAAAAATTCAAGGAAACCACTGTTCCTCAGGATCAGATTTCAACCTAGCTGGAGCATATGTTTTTAAGAAAACAATGTAGATGTTGTAGTAATCCCAATCTGTAGCATGTCCTAACTTTTCATTTATATTTTATAGTGTATTTATCTGTAATCACATGACTAAGTGATGTAAAGAACTGTATATAAAATGTAACTTTAGAGTCAATATTAAAAATATAATGTTGTGTTTAATTGTATTTGCTTATATTCAGCGTAGAAGCAGAAGATGGAGATTACATGTTCTGCTTTGACAACACGTTCAGTACCATTTCAGAGAAGGTGATTTTCTTTGAACTGATCCTAGATAATGTGGGGGAAGAAGGACAAGACCAAGAAGACTGGAAAAAGTACATTACAGGCACAGATCTGCTAGATATGAAACTGGAAGATATTCTGGTAAGTATTCTGTTCTACAAGCATCAAGTGACTCAGGTTTTAAAACATTTGAAAGAGGCATCAACCTTTTATTCTGGGAGATATGCCTCCTTGTGCTAGCATGATGGTCCTTACCAGCTCAGATAGAACAGTTGATCGAGTTCTTTATAGCGATACATAGATTTCATAGACATTAGGGCTGGAAGGGACCTCAGAAGATCATCGAGTCCAGCCCCCCTCCCGAAGGACAGGAAGTCAGCTGGGGTCATAGGATCCCTACAGCATCATCAACTCATTCTCCAAGGTAAAGGTTTCTTTTTTCCTTATGCATTCTCTGTGATTTAACTGCTTGTTGCCTTTAAGAAAGGCTTGATACTGAACTAAGAAAGCCCAATTAGCTAATTTATTATAATCCTTAATCAGGAAAATGTAAAGCTGCGTAATCTAATTGTGGAGGAATGGTCAGTTATGGCAGAGGATGCAGCATGGTAACATAGCATTAGTCAAGCTTTTGGGATCAACCTAGTTGTTTACAAATGATGAAACGTGTTCTTTGTTGTAGCTTATGCTTTGCAGCCTGTACACAGTCTCAAAAGTTAGGAAACTCAGAAGAACATTTTCACAACTTCCTCTTATGTCTTTGTGTCCTTGCTGTTGGGGTCTCAACTGGGAAACAGACCAGCTTTTGCTACGTTCTGATTAAAGTGTTCTGAAGCTCAGCAAAAAACAAAGTTGTATTTTGCTTTTTCTACTCAAACTCTGATACAGAATATGTTTGCTAGTCCTTAAAAATGCACCTGACATTTTACTTGGCATAAGCAAAAAGTGTTTGGGGAATTGTTTAGGTATAAAGTATTAAAAATGCCAGGTATAAGTTATAGGGCAGCTTTTCCCAACTGGCATGCGATGCGGCATTTTGGGCTGGAGCCAAGCCCCACCACCTGCTGCTGAGGACACAGACAGTTGGGGAGCATGGCTTCATCCAGGCAGGGGGCGTGGCTCCAACCCAAAATGCTGTCCAGCTGGCTGTGCACCACCCCCGCTGGTGTGCGGTGGTGCTTTGTTTAGGTAAGTGTGCCGTAGACTGAAACAGGTTGGGAAATGCTGCTACAGGGCACTGAGTCATAGGCCAAAGAACAGCACTGAGAAATAAGAGATCTGGATTCTAGTTCTGACTGTCACAAACTTCTTCTTTAAACTAGGCAAGTCATTTAATCTCTTCATTGCTCAACTAGTAATCCCAGCCAGAGAGTTATTAACTATATCCCAGGGGAGTTCTGAGGCATAATTGATTAAACCACATTGAATTTCTTGGAACATGATTTAGGTATGGAAAGTGTCTCTACTGAGATTAAAGCAGGCTCCAAGTAAGTACGTCGGTAGTAGACTTTATCGCTATTTTCTGTCTGCTGGGATCTTGCTGTATCATAGCTTTTATTTTAGATGTAAGAGAATGAACTTGATACTTACATAGCTTTACATGTTAGGAATCAAACTCAAGGTCACAAACAAGGCAGTGAATCTGACTCCTCCAATAGCCATATAAGCTGACCCCTCTTATCTTCATGTAAGCAAACCTATACACGGCCCTGCTCTTAGAAGGCAAAGAGGAATAGCACAGCCTGAGGGATACTATTTTCAATGAGCCCCTAAACATTTCTATCAGTGAACTGCCTTCCTGAGTACTTTAGCTTTTCTTTCTTAAATACAGCTCTTCTGCATACCGAGTCAGATGGCTTCTAGTCTACAATAGGATTACTGGAAATCCTACTGTCAGCCACTACATGCATTGCTTGCATTGATTGGGCATTACTTAAATTTTACATTGGCCCTACTCTGTCGTCTTCTCTGCCTATACTCCAATTGCAGCCTTCCATACCCCCCTACAGTGTTCCTTTCACTGTACGCACTGATGCTAGCTTGCATTACTGTGACCATTTTTTCACATTGCTGTGTAAACAGCTTTGCGCAAGCTTCAGGCAACTACTGGGCCTCAGCAGTAGTGCAGGGATCCAGAGCACCAATTTTAAACAGTGTTCAAACAGGCTGCAGTATTGAACTCTGAACTCACTTGCTGGTAAAGTGGCTGTCAAAGCAGAAACACAGTGTGGAGAGAATCTGTCTTCAAACAGTAGTTGATTTACACTGCATTAGTTGTCCCATGAATCAGTTCAGAAAGCATGCATTTTTATCATGCTCTAATTTTATAATGAAGCAATAATTGGATTTAATAAATACCAAAATTATTAATAAAATGCTTGATGACAAATACGTAATGTATTTTATTTTTGAAAAGTAGATAGTTTTCATTTTGCCAGTACAATTAAAGATTTTAATTACAAGGTACATGGCTTTTCTAATCCCCAGAGCCATATAAAGGATTCAGGAGGGCTTAATGAGTCTGACAAGTGCTGATGAGACAACACAGATCTGAACTCTGCCTCAAATAGCAACGTCATGTCAGTTCCCTTTTAAAATTGGGGCCATGCCAATATCTAGTTAGAGAAGGTAGTTAGCAGAATGAGCAGCAGGAGAAAAGCAATTCTTAAGAAGAATATCCCTCTTTCATGCAAAATCATTTCTAAATGTTCTTCTTCAAAGAGATACTTAAGCAGAATTTTGAGCACTTGGGCATCAGTAAATTTCACTTGAGCATCAGTAAATTTTAAAGATGAATAGTAATGTAAATAAATGATATGGTTATTTATAATACTGTCATTAATTTAGTCAAGTTATTAATTCTGTGGAATTCCTGGAAGAGCTTTTAAATTAGATATTGCATAAGAAACTTGCTGGGGAAATTGAAGAAGTGTAGGTAGGATACCTTCATATGCAGACTGCTTTGGGCTGTAGATACTCAGTGTTCAGTAGCATATTATCTTTGGCATCAACATCAAGTTACTGATGTCCAAAAATAGCCTTTTTGAAATGAATACATATCATGGCAAGTTAAGATTCAGGCTTATACCTTCTGCATGGCTTTTCCTCTAGGATGTCAATATTTAACTTTCACTAATAATTTCTGTAGTGAATATAGGAAGTTGTTGTAGACAAAAAACACCTAAATTCCAAAGTCTGAGGGCTCAAGAGTTCTGCAGTACGTCAGTGGTAAGGAAATGCTGAGCACTAGGTAAACTCAGTGTTTTTAGCCTCTGATTCTGTGTTACGTTGAGGATGGGTACAGCAAAAGGCAACAGATTGCGAGATTGGGTCTCCAGTTTGTAATCTGAGAAGGGATTTTAAGGTGCTACTTCCCTAGAGCCAAAAGTTTTGTAGGAAACGTTTTGGTTCCCTGAAACAGCCATTACATTATAACTCTGTAAAGACCCTCAGTCATTCCTATAAAGGTTTCATGGCTAAGTTCAGAATCTTTCTGGCTTATCAAGTCCGTAAAATGATATTTTAACTATTACCAAAAGGGATAAGAGAGAAGTAGAAATTGTATTGTTATATTTTCTGGGAATAAATCAAAGGGATATTGAGCCACCAAATAATCTGATCAACTGGCTGTTCTTAATACTTGCTTGCACTGGGTGTTTATACTATGGGACTGACTACAGTCAAAAGGGAAAATGCCTTATTTAAAAACTACACTGAGAAAGTGGTGTTGGCTAAACTCTTCTTCTACATCAGTGAATCAGTAAAGCAATGAATGTATAGGGCAGTAACTCATGTTGTGTTCATCTGGATCATAATACCTATGGAGCCCACAGCAGATTAACTGTTACAGAAATGCCCACAGCAGAGCTCTGTTAAAAAATGTGAGGTCTTATATGGTTTACGTTGGTGCTGCTTGCAAGTGGTACTTAGTAAAAATCACTTAACGGATCATTAAATGCTGGAATAATAGTTCTGACTTATCTACCTCCTGTTCTATAGATAATGTAGTGCCACTTTGGAAAATTTAGATCTAATTATATTCAGAAAGATAACAAAATGGGATCTTTTATCCTGGATTCTAGCTGCGCTATCAAATGTTTGCTACTCACAATATCAGGTATGATAAGTTAGAAGGCTGTTCTGAGGGCCTTATCTTAGGAATTCATTTTAAAGTTTCATATTATTTGCTTTTGGAACATTCTGGAAGGTCAGTTTACTTTCATGGGTTGTAGCAGAGGCACAGAACCCAATGGACAGAGGTGTAGTTGGGGTTTAGACTTGGGTTGCTGTACCATTCAAGCAGTGCAAACAAGCAAGTATGTAACATTGCAGTCAGTTGCTACCTGTGATGGGTACATGGCACCAAGATGCCAAGAGCAGCTCTCTCAGAGCTAATGGCTTAGTCCAGTGGTGCTCAACGTTTTGGTCCCAGGGTTTGGATAAGTGGTACAGGGCCAATCTGTGGGCTGGATTAGGTCCTGCATGGCAGGACCAGGCCTCAGTCACCCCTGTGCTTCCTCAGTTGGCCCCATGCTGCCCTGCACTGCCTGGTTCTGCCTTGTACTTCTCCAGTTGATCTCACATACCCAATCTAGTGTGCAGAGCCACACTATCTGGTCCCCAGTGCTCCCGCATCAGTCTGGCAACTTAACAGCAGGGGAGGAAGTAATTACCTGCCACCACTCCCCCACAGCAAAATGTTCAGACTCATGAGGAACCCTGTGGACTAGTTGATATGGCTCCACAGGCTGGATCCCTCTCACAGGCTAGAGGGTGAGCACATGTGGCTTAATGAATGGATGAGGCTGTATATTCCAGTGGATGGAAGGGACTGAGAAACATATATACTAATCATGCTTATAGTAACTGGTGGTTACAGTAACTAAAACTCATAAGGAGTCAGCCAGGCCAGGTCCCTGCGGCTGCCGGCTGGGTCCTGCTGTGTCGTGTGGTCCTGGGCATGCACTTGGGAACCGCAGGGCCTGAGTCAGGCCAGGCTGGCTCCTGCCGCTTCATGTGGTCCTGGCCATGCAGCCAGGAACCACACACCACCAGAGCAGCCAGTGGGGCAGCGGGGAGAGGCAGAGGTAGGTGGGGAAGGAAAGGAAGCGGTAGGGGAAGAGTAGCGGTGGAAGGCAGGAAGTGGCAGTGAGTGGGCAGGCAGGAGTGCAGTGCCCTGGGGCCAGGGCCAGTGGCAGCAGGAACCAGCTGGGAACCACAGTAGCCAGGCTGGCCCCTGGTGCATTCCACAGTCCTGGTCAAGCAGCTGGGAACCATGTGCTGCCACAGTGGTGGCGGCAGGTGGAAAGAAGTGGCTGGGAAGGGGATTGGGGGCAGGTGGGGGTGGAAGTGGCAGCAAGTTGGTGGGTGAGCATGCAGGGCCCACACCAGCGCTCCAGGTCCAGGGCCATGGCTGGCAGGAGCCCAGGGTAGGGAGACAGGAGTGCGGAACCTGGGCTGGCAGGGGCTCTTATGAAGCTGGGCCAGCTCCGCAACTCTCCCTGCCAGCAGCCTGGCCACATGCAGTCATGGGTCTTGCTGGGACTGCGTACCACCAGGGTGTCCATCTGCTGCAGGCCATGAACACTCTGAGGCCTCACCACCTGCTGGTGGTAGTAGCGGCAGGGGCTATGTGCAATAAAGGAGGGGGGCACATTTGTAGGGGGTCCCCCCCACAACCCATCATACACATGCACCCACACACCCCACACCTAAACTCCCTCACACACCCCAGCCACCCTCCTCATCCACACGTCACAACCCCTCAGCCACCCTCCTCCCCACTCGTGTCCCCCCCACAAATCCTGTACCCAACACATCCACATACAGTATACCCACACTTAACTATACCCCCACACAGCCACACCCTCCCCCACACTCCACATACACATACCCACCCACATCCACAGCCCTACACAAACTGTGTACCCACCCCTCCATACCCCCCCACCAATACACAAAAGTAAGACTTCATTTTAAGCTATCATGCAATCATCTCTATATACATTACACAAATGTACATAAATCAGGACAACAACATTTTTTTAAAACAAATTAATGTATGTTGTCTGATTGTTGATGTTGATATAATTTGGTTTTTTTTCCAGTTCCAAGATGGCAAACTCCCTAGCCAAAAGGAGTATTTCTGGGGGCAAGAGGAGGGACTTCCGGTTCCAAGATGGTGACCAGGGGGCAGCCCTCAACAGCTGCCCTCAACAGCTGGCCAAAACTTGTTAAGCAGCCCTCCAGCCAAAATAACTGCCCACCCCTGCCCTAATCACTATACAAGTGTGCAGGACAGAGCACATAAAAATGACACAACACCTTCTACCTTTATCAAGCCACAAACAGAAAGCTGCACAGTAACTACTGGAATTAGCATCACATAAATAGTTGATTCCCAAAAGAAATGTCTTTCATTTAAGCTTTTTGTCACAGAATTTCTTTTGTTAACAAAGACTTTAAGTTTCCCAGTATTATCTCAGGCACACCCTGACTTTTATGTTCAGCAAAATGCAAACTTTTGAGAACTAGGAAATTAAGTACTCAGGTAATGTATGTGCAACCTCCAATCTCCCTGACTTCAGGCAAAGCCATTGGAAACCATAGAATTTGTGTTGGTAAGTGAGGTAAACTGGAAGGGGCATTTTCCTTGTGGAGGCAGTGCAAGAGCTCCTCTGCCTGACCCCTCTTAGGCCTGATAAAAGGGAAACAGGTGCATGTGCCTGCAAAGAAATCCACTACATCTTGTAGGCTGTTATTAGTGTGGCACAGGGACTTCTTGGTGTGAAGACTATTAAAAGTAGGAAAATGACTGTTCTATGCATTTAACAAAAGGGAAAGTGAAGCACAGTGTTAAATGGCATTATGCAGTAGGGCAAAGGGGTCATAGAATGACCAGATTTGATGTTCTTTTGTGGATGAGGCTAAATGTTTGACAGTAAGGCAGGTACTTTTAGTTTATGGTCTGTACCATTCAAAGGCAAAAATGCATGTATGCTATAAGCTGATCAAAGAAGGTAGAGTTAAAGTTGTGTGGGCATGTGCTTAATTCCTACATATCTGGGGGCGGGGGGGGG